GAGTGTTACTTTATGTTTTTTTTTATTGACATGAATTTGTTTAGTTGCTCCTAGAGAGACAGTATGTTTTCTATTTGCTACGGTTTAAGGTATATGACATTTTTACACAAAATATAGTATGCATATTGTACCTTAAGCTGACATGTTTCTTTTATATGTTTTATATTTCTTCAGCGTTCAGTAAGCTAATTTGCTATGTAAGAAGTTATAACTTGTTCTCCTTCAATAGGTTGACGCTGTTTGGCACTTACGCCTTTTACTACTCGCAGGCGTTGGGGGCGTTCTTGTTCTTCCTTCAAAATCGTGGTAACGGTGTGCTTGGTCTAGACAACAGGTACCGGTATATTTTAATGTTTATACATACCTAAATTCACAAATCGAAGTTCAGTTGTTCAAATGACCAAAATACTTCATTATTTTGAGCATAATTGATTATTATATTGTAATTATTTTCATATTTTTTATATAATTCCCACGATACTTGCTGACCCGCACGTATTGTGACTTTGCAAGCCAAGTTAATGAATAAATGTCAAATAAGGTCAAGATGACTTATGAACTTTTTATTAATTCTACTTTTGGAAGCAGTGAATAAAGCTTCAATTATACTTGCTTGAGTAATATATTTTTCTCCTTCAATATTAAAGAGTGCATAACTTAAACAACATAAATAAAATTTCCGTTGTAACCTTTTCTTTTATTCCGTTTTAGACGATATTTTCACAATGCAACGTACGTGCTCATTTTCTATAACGTGGTAATTGGGTTAGCATCCTGTCTCATGCGAATTGTAAAAGCTTTGCTTTTTGGGACATTCTATATTGGGCGTCTGGACCGGTGCCTACTGATGCGAGGCTGGGAACTATGGGATACAGGTGAAAACAGAAAGATAATACTTAGTAGTTTATAATTATAATAATAATTAGAGTAGTTTATTAAAATTTGTCTTTAATATTATTTGATTTTATACATTTAAATCTTGTTTAGAATAGACCCAACCATTTATGAAATATAAATTCTCTCTTTGAAAAGAAAAAAAAAAACAAATTCATGCTATCGTTATAATCAAAGTCGATTCCAAAAGTTTAGCTCTAGGACTGTTGAAAAAGTAAATGATTTATATCGGGTGTGATACAGTGCATTTGCAGTTATTGTATGTCCAAAGCGTGGGTATCATGGAACAACAGCTTTGTTACAATCAATGTGTTATCTGATTATATACTAAATAATTCAATAAAAGTGTACAATCACAGCATCTTAATTGATGATTACATATTTGTGAGGTAACGTTTTGAGATGGATAACGTTTAATGACGCCACACTGTATACGATGCCTGCGAAATGCTTAGTTTAACCAGACAGGTATAGTATTATTTATATCTCCATGTGTTCAGACAGCAGGAAAATGTATTATTACATAGAGGCCTAAAATACAATACATAGTCCATCACTATCAGTTTATTATTATTATTATTATTATTATTATTATTATTATTATTATTATTATAATTTTCATAATACTAAGTGTTGTTCTTGTTGTTGGATATTAAATAAAGGAAGATCACTAAAGAAAGCAACAGGTAAGTTTGCTAGTTTTGTTCTTTCGTTCGCCTTTTAATCCCTCCATTTTCTTTCTCTCAGGGTACCGTGCATATCTAGGGTTTTTACGATTGGAGATTGTTCACTCACATCCAGTTCTTATAACTTTCTGTCATTTCCTTTACACAAGTACTGTTAAGAAAAGAGCTAATGTAGAAGCAAAATCGAAAGGTAATTCAATGCATTAAGGCTGATAAATGTTGATTCTCACCAAATCCGAATTCGGCTCGTAAAACGTTTTCGATGCACGTCTTAGTACACGCATTTATTCTTTAACACTGATTCGATTTTTTTTTTCGTTTCGTCGAAGAACATAAATAACAGAAGAATGAGCTCATCGCGTAGTTTGCATTAAATTTGATGGAATGTCCGCCCTCTCGCTAGAATAGAGGAAAATTATTTGATGGACTGGAGAAACTAATGAAAAAAAAAAACGAACCAAAGAGTTATCCAACCAATCCAAGCAATCTGAACCAATCAAAGATATAGCGCCGCCACTTGGATGGAGAAAAATTGCTCTCATGGACGCTGGCCCTCATGAGGCGTTCCACTATATCGCGAACTGCTCTATCGTTTGCTATTTATTATCTTTAGTTTCGTTAGCCATACGAACCGAGTTCGGATTAGGTGTGAATATACCTTCACATGCACTTCATGCCATAATTGTATTACAAATATTCATTAAGGGTGAGCTACCAAGAAAATCCGATCTACTACATCAGGTCCTATCGCTGGAGACAGATTTAATAATTGGTTCATAACTCGCAGCGTCGTTTTGCTGAATTGCTATGAGTCGCTCAGTCTTCTTTCCATCTGAGACTATAATTTTCCATAAATTTATTTCCCATTGAATTTACCTCACTTAAAAGAGCTACCGGGATTAAAACCAGTAACTAAAGATTTGAAGGCGATACTGTGGGCTACGATGCCACATGGTCATATCATTATTGTAATAACAGTTATTGTACGGATTTATGTTTAAAACTGTTCTCATTTTGTTCTACAGAGGTCAAGCTTCAATATTTTACCAGCGACAGGACGCTATTGTCATCTGAAATTGTCCAACGGCGTCGAAAGGTGGCACGAAATCGGTGGTTTGTTGCAATCACATTAATAAGAAACAGTCAACTTGTTTGTTACAGATCACCTGAAAGGATTGATTTGGAAAAAATTATATCGGTAGCAGACGACACTGATAAAGCTGTCTGTATAGAAAATCAACAGAGTGTGTATAACTAATTGTTTTCCGCGCGTTGTTCATCACTTATGAACTGTAAATCTCAATACGTAGAGAGCGGGGCGCTGTGTTTGAAGCAGAAGGTTTTCCATCATGTTTGCATATTGCATACAGTGCTGTAATTTGGAAAACATTTGCTAAAACTGTAACATGGGCCTACTAAAATTTAAAAAATATATATAGAAATTGGTCTGGCTACGTAACACTTGAATAAAGGGGGAAGTGGGACATCTTAAAAGATGTAAATTTAGCACAATTTTCCGTCCTAAAATTCAGTGTAAGTAGATCCCCGATATATCCGACAGTGAAATATCGTTCGTTTTGTGGTTTGTGTATAATTGGACCAAATAAAATAATTTTGTTTAAATTCTTAATCTAGTTTTTGTTGAATATTATTGACACCATTGGTTTTGAAAGTTTTAGTTTAATTCAATATTTGTAGTGGTAATGGTGATACACAGGTAGATTTCAGGAGGAATCTCAGGCCATCAGACGTAACATAGACATGTGTTGGAGATGAAATAGTCTGGATCCTCCATCTGTAAAATCTGGACTTCGAATCCCTTCTATTTCGAATTCCTGGATCCACCCCTTTGAAGTATTTTGGAGTTTTGATGGTTAAGATGCTTGTTCTCTAATCACAGGGTCTTGATCCAGAGGGGCTTATCTCACGACCAAAGTAACTCCATATATTTATTTATTTATTCATTATATGATTCGCCATAACAGGAGCCCGACCAGAGTGAATGAAAAGGTAAATAATAGATGTCTGAAGCACGTGGCGAAAAGTGTTTTTCACATGTCTATAAATTATACCTCTATGGCTGAGCAAGCATTCAGGTACACAATTGCTTACGCCCAAAATAATGCAAATCAAAAGGGAAATAATAGATGTCTGAAGCACGTGGTAAAAAGTGCTGTTCACATGTCTCTAAATTATACCTCCATATCTCTACTCTGATTGGACAATACGATGGATAGCATTGTTTTGCAGTTCAATAGAGACTAAAATAGTATAATACATACTCCAAGTATCGAAATGCACGCAATCGTGTCGGGATTTAATATTTCGACATTAATTATGTCATCATCAGGAATCATCAGGAATAGAGACTAAATTGAGCACTAAAAAAAAATCATAGCAAGGCTTGTCTTTACACACCTACCATCGATTATTCAGTCTGAGGGAAAATGGTAAGTAAAAATTGTTTATACACACGTTAAATCATGGCATTATAATATAACATTAGCTTCGTAATTTAATATTTGCGGCGTAACTTGTCAGTGCGCCAGCGAAGCGACCGTGGGCTTGGCGCCATCGAAGGGGTGGGAGATGAACGATGCCCCGGTAGTGGTCGTCCAACAAAATGTTAACAATTTAAATGCTACTTAATTGATTTTAGAATCTAATAGTTTGAAAAGAACATATAGGCCTGAGTGAAGTTACTATTTCTTAGTAAATTTAGTAATCTGAAACTTAAGCATTGGCATCCAAACCTCGTCATTTATTCTATTATAATTTATATTCAGAATCAGATTTTTTTTTCTCCAAAGAAGTAATTGCTTTGCTCGTAATAAAACCTTAAATATTATTTCACAATAAATTAAATATATAAAGTAATTTTATTGCAAAATCACATAAGCATTCTGAAATTGAAAAAGTCTTTCAGAATCAAAACTTTAATATTAGTATTTAAACGATAAAATAATTATGATAATATTAACAATAATACTAACAATAAAGATAAATAAAAATATATATGAAAATAAGAATAATAATTATACAGTATTAGGTTTGATATTAATCTACGGTATTATAAGGATGTTTTTCACAAGGTGTGTATTGTAGCACTTCAAAAAAATGTTAAAAATGTAAAGGAGTGGAATCTCTTGCCTTGTTCTGAATTGCATCGGGCGTACTATTGTAGCAGCCAGAGTCGATTTTCTATTGCTGCGATAATCTTTTGATTGTTTTGAATGATCACTAATCGCATCTTTTCCTACTTTACTTTCACACAACCTTGACTTAAGACTATATTTGTTAAGTATTGTGGTCTTTGTTGTTGTTTGTGGCTGATACGGTACCGTACCGGTTGTGCTCACCATGGTCTTCTAAAAATTATTGCGGTGTCACTACCTAATTTCCACAACTGATGGAAATTTTGCTTGCATTTTGCAACATGAAGGCTCTTTAAAAAAAAATAAGGCTCAATATCAGCTGATACACTGCAGCCTTACTGAACGAACTAGACCTATGCCTACTATTGTTATTAAAAGGAATGTGATTTTAAAACTAAAGTTTTTATTTTTACTATCCGTCACTTAACAAGGACTTAATTAACTGTTCATTGATTTATTAAGATTCTTTAAAAATGTGTAATGTGTTGTTTTGTAACGAGTTTTTTTATAATATGAAAAAATGGCATATAGGCACCAAATATTGATAGGCCTATTGTGCCTCTAACTAGGCCCGTTTATGCAAATAAGCACAAGGACGCTGATGACTATGGGTCATTATCCTACCGTCACCTTACCACCTTTATAAGGAACTATAAGAAACAATAACTAACACTTTATCCCCCTTTTGTATATTGTAACAGATGTTAATGAAGGAATATAAATGTTTGTTTGAATTGAACCGAATTAATACTAGGGGCTGAATTTAACGCTTTGTAGGTTTTAATTATGCACGCACCTTAGTGTTTTTATTCTATTGCTGGGTTTTATTGGTTGATTTTAATTAAATCTTTTTTTTTTTTATCTTACTTCAGCACCAAGCATATAAAGCGTGTCCATTTCAATTGTAACTTCACATTGATCTAACACTCTGATCTAAAAACATTCGTTTAAGGTGAAATGATATTTATGTTAAAACATTAGCTGCTTCGATTTAAAATGATACGCATTTTTATATCATATTGCCATCAATAGACATAAGTAGGTCTGGGCTTACGGTACTTTTCTAACACTTGTGATATTACAGCACGGTATCAATATCATAATCATTTGAATAAAAATATGTAGTTACAAACTGACATTTTTGCATTAATGTAGGAAAACGACGAAGACAAAAAATCGGCTGTGGTTCTCGACAACAATGGTTTTATAGGCGACGATGGAACTCCCTCTCACTACCCTATAATAATGGAAAACAGAAATCTGAAACAAACTACAGAGGAGGAAGAGGATCCATGGGTAGCTATGTTGTATTGTAACGAGTAATGAGAGAGCAGCTTAGCTCAGTCGGCCAATCTGGTGATAGCCGCTGTGTGTGCGCTGAACCGTGGAGATCTCTAGGTCCCCGGTTCAATTCCTATCGCTGCCTTTCCTTGTGTTTCAGCTGGAGGGCTGAAATACAAGTTACAATAGCGCACCGTCTTTCGGATGAGACGTTTAAGCCGTTGGTCCCGTGTGCATTATAGCCCATGTGTACGTTAAAGAACGCAATACACTCTTCGGAAAAGAGTAGGGGATTGTCTCCCGGTGTACTGCCCAATCACCACCAGAAGGACCCCACTGGAAATAAGTCTTCTTCTAGACTTTCGTGGGCTCTCCTTGGTGTTTACACCGAATAAATCCAATCCAATCCAATCCAGAGTTTTTCTATAATATAATTATAAAATGGCATACGTGGACCAAATATTGATATGGTGTCCCTAACCACGCCCGTTTGTGCAAATAATTTATAATCATTTGAATAAAAATCTATAGTGTTAAAACAAAATGACATTTTTGCATTATTCTAGGCAAACGACGAATACAAGAAATCGGCTTTGGATGTCGACAACGTTGGTTTTATAGGCGACGATGGAACTCCCTCTCACCACCCTGTAACAATGGAAAATAGAAATCTGAAACAAACTAAAGAGGAGGAAGAGGATCCATGGGTAGCTGCTCTACCAGATACTGATGATCAACTGGAACCTTGGAGTGGTAAGCTGAATGTCACTTTTTCAGTTTCGGGAAAACGTTCTCGCAGGGGCGAATTTAGAGGCGCGAGAACGAACCCCCCCCCCCTTTTTTTTTTGGAAAGTAAAAACTCCCTAGGGTGGTGTTATCTCGGTCGCCCCACTTTCGGCCCCACCCACATCTTTGGATCCTGCCCGTTCTCGTTCCTAATTTTCAATTGAGAGATAATAATTAATAATATTATATACTGTAAAACATTAAGCAATTCTAATATTGGATTTCATTCTTCAGCATATATTAGCCAACAATTACAGTATCATTAAACATTATTCTATTCCTTTGTTTTAGAGCTGAATACTAAGGGGAAATGTATACGTGTTATCAAGTTATCATGGCTGTACCTCTGTCTTCCTATACTATTTCTTGGTTTCCTCTATATGTTCATATGTTCACTGGATTTTTTAAGTTCAGCCTTCAGATTGCTAGGAGGTGAAGCAGCCGGAGAGGTAAGTAATGGACTAGTACAATACTAAAACAATTCCTTACCAATATCTAATGCGTGTCTGCAATTTACTAAATTGGAAATACTTCCAATTGACTTTTACCGATTATTTATCCAGAATTACACAATATTTTCACAATTATATAGCATGTTGATTGTTTGCGTGTGTTTAGAACACGAAACTTTCGCGGGGTATGCCTCGGACCCTCTAGGGTAGTATTATCTTAATCGGCCCCACTTTCGCCCCCCCCCCCTTTTTTTCGGACATTTCTGGATCCGCCCCTGCCAGTCAAGGGGGGTTCAAAGAGTTCGGACGAACCCCCGTCTGCAAAGAAACGTAACAAAATTCAACTGGGTCCTGGCTTACAAAAGACATGCTAACCTACCTAGGCATAGGTTGGAAGATCAGTAGACTTAGCCCAACTAGTTCTCAATTAAATAAATTATACACACTGTTTTTGGTTCGCGGTCGTAATAATTTTATTTCATTTTATTCGGCATTACATTAAAATATACAGTACAAAAGTACAAAACTATATCAAAATACAAAAATACAATAGCGAAAAATGTCATAAAAAATAATAAAAGCCAAAAATTCAGAAAACAACCAAAAAGTTATAAAAATTTTCCTACATCAAAAATAAATTTGGGTTACCTTGAACATCATATAACACTTATAAAAATTGATATTAACAGACAAAAACAAATATTAATGCCAGGATAACCCGTGAAACTTTCCAACGGGGTCCTAAAATATCACACAGAAACAAAAACGGAGACAGACAAAAGAAGTAGTATATGATGTACAAGATAAAACAATAATTAAAAAAAATAAAGACCCACCTTACAGCGTTACACAAGCTACAACATATACAAGTTAGTTATAGGCTGTGCAATATTACAGAATCTTTTATCAAGGTGATGCTTTAATTTTATTTTAAATACGTTGAGTGATGTTGATTGTTTTATGTATGGTGGTAGTGCGTTCCGTTGTTTGATTGCTGTATAATAAAATGTATTGTTGGGATGTTTAACATGTGGGATGCGAAAGGTTAACGAGCTACCTCTAGTAAAATGATTATGTAAACTATTTAATTTATGTACGAAAGTGTGTTCTTCTGGCCTGTCGGTTCATCGATCCATGGAAGAAAGGCTACATATCTAACTACTCAATGTTTGTTGGAATATAATAATATATTGCCTGTCTTTGATCCCCCCCCCCCCCACCTCTATGATAGGCCTAAAGAATGAGATAGAATTACCTGACCTTTTTTTCAAGAGGGGGAAAACTTTGAATTTTGAGGAACTTAAAGGTCATTAAAAGACTTCTCAGAAGCCGGGAAAGCTCATTTCTGACCATCTAGGAATCCCCCACCACCCCCCCCCCCCCCCCCCCCCCTCCTTTCATTTGTGATTTTTCGGAAACATTTTTAACCCCCTCTTTTAAATCCTGGATCCGCCCCTGAAAAATGTGTAAATAATTGTGTTATCTTGAGTGATTCAATTTTTTTAGATTTTTTTTTAAACGTAAAAATGCTGATATTAGTGTTATGGAGGGTGGGGGTAGCTTATTCTATGCAATATGACCAAGGGCAAAGATTGATTTTGTCTTGGAGACTGTTCGAGGGCGAGTGCGATGAAAGTGTGAGGATTTTCTGGTATGGTAAGTATGGATGTGGTGGTTCTTGGAGAATTCTTTCATAAAGGCGGAGCAGGTGTTGACGAGGAATATAAAACAACAAACAATAAACTTACATAAATAATAAATAGCAAATAACCCAAGGTTAAAAATATAACAAGAATAATCAAGAAATAAATAAGAATGCAATATAGGCTAAGTTACTTAAGTTACATTACAACACGATTAAAGAAAAGCCAATTTTATTCTAATAATCATACAGATTTGTTTTTAAATAAGCCCACTGCTATGAAGCTCTCAAAGATGCCACTAATTAAAAGTAATTTGTACTGAACATACAAAATTAACAATGGTCAGAGGGATCCAGAATTTTTCAAACGTTTGCCGGGGGGACAACAGGTTCAGCATAAGTAACATTACATTGATTTGCATTGAAATTTTTAAAATTTAGTGGCAAAACAGGAGGC